GAAATTAGAAAAGTATTGATGCCAATTCAAAGATAATTTTAATAGTTTTTTTACGACGTATTTACTATAACCATTTTTGAAACGAATTTTTGGTAAACGCTGTTTAAAAAAATATATACAATTTCGATTTTTACCACTACTTTAGCTAAATTTTTCCCTATAACAAACCTTTCTATATAAGGTAATAACTTCTGCTATATATAATTTTTGGTAAACGCTGTTTAAAAAGAATACATACAATTTCGATTTTTACCACTACTTTAGCTAAATTTTTCCCTATAACAAACCTTTCTATATAAGGTAATAACTTCTGCTATATATAATTTTTGGTAAACGCTGTTTAAAAAGAATACATACAATTTCGATTTTTACCACTACTTTAGCTAAATTTTTCCCTATAACAAACCTTTCTATATAAGGTAATAACTTCTGCTATATATAATTTTTGGTAAACGCTGTTTAAAAAGAATACATACAATTTCGATTTTTACCACTACTTTAGCTAAATTTTTCCCTATAACAAACCTTTCTATATAAGGTAATAACTTGTGCTTTCTAAATAATATAAATTTCTGTAGCATTAATTATGCGATTTTCTTCAAAAAAGGTAATTTAATGAAACTTTTTTTGTTTTAGTATTTTTGACTTAAAAATAAAAAAAAATCAGAAAAACTATGTACATCGACTGAAATATAAACTAATCATCTTTATTTTGACATCATTGGTTCTTTAATCGGTTATGTGGTTTATAAGATATTGATATTTCAAAATATCGAAAAATGTAACTTAACCTCCTATATCTCCTTAATTTTTTACTTGCGCTAAATAATTTTGTAAAAATTTGACATCACATTTGACATTAGTAATGAAAACGGAATGTGAATCATCTGACACCGAAATTTGACGACAGTCTTTGACATGCACTGCGGTATCGACATTTGGTCAGTTTTTAAAATGTAATGTAAACGCATTTGACACCAAATGAACAGCTGTCAGATGAAGGCAGTTTTTGATGTCAGTGATTTTGACCTAATGAAAACCAGCCTTAAGCAAAATTGATTTAGCACTCAAAATTAAAAAGATCCTATTGTATGACTAGAGGATTTGTATAGTGTTGTACGAAAATTTGTTTATTCCTTGCCAATTTTTCTATTCGGCGCGAGGAGCGGAAGAAGGAAAGTGTCTGCGGAGCACTGAATGCAGCATATATTGAATATATGAACGGCGCAGGAACGCCGTTGTTACCGCCGTCAGTCGAAGCAACCTGGTCATCTTTACACATTACGATATTATCATTTTTTTCTTTGAGTTCTTGTTTACACTTATTTAAAATGGCATTTTTGCTATCATATTCTTTTGTTGTTCACATCCGTTATATTCTTGTACTTGTAGTGTACATACAAAAGTATAAAAAGCGGTTCTTAAAAGAACAGGCCACCTCTTGTTGTCAAAGAGGCGCACTAAATACACGAAATACTTTGAAGCGCTAAAAATCGCTTAGTAAGTTGCTAAAATTGTAAAACCGCTAGTTTTGTTAATTGCTAATTAACATAGTAAAAAACTACACTGAAGAACAATAAACGCTAAATAAAGTTAAGTAGAAGTAGTGCTATTAAAAATTCGTATTTTTTATTCAACTGCGCTAACAGCCGTGGTCAGCAAAGCCGCCATGAGAAAATTGAGAATCGCAACAAACGATAACTGGTTCTTAAACAAAACCGCGATTTAATTTCCCGAATAAGTAGAGTGGATACTATCACTTGGAAAGAAATTCACTCTACCAACAACTTAATCAAACTTCTCACCAATACACATAATAGCGGAAATGGAACAGCTCCTACTATCATTGGAGAACGAAAAAGAAAAGGAAATAGCGAGAAACAGAGTAAGCAATAGAATTCAACTATTCAGGCGCAACATAAAGCAAAATGCAGCAGAGAAATTCATACTAGCAGCATTTTACAAGGCAAAAGCGTTTGTCAGACTACACAAGAACACTATCATTATAACGGATGCGGACAAAGGAAACAAAACAATAGCAATGTATAAAAATGAGTACATGGAAAAAAAGCACCAACTTGTTGAAGACAAAAACACTTACAGAACAACAAGAACTGACCCTACAAATGCTCTACAAAAGAAAAACAACAGAATAGTAGACGATCTATACAAAAACCAGTACATAAACTTCAAAGTAAAAGAACAGCTCACTTGCTCAGCAGGCGCAGCACCTAGAAATTATGGATTGCCGAAAATACATAAGCCCGAAGTTCCTCTACGTCCTATTGCTTCTTCAGTTATGGTACCCTGCTACAAATTGTCAAAATTTATTGGAGAGATTCTACAGACTCTAATCTCTAAAAGATAGGTTAGCCGAAATAAATGTGTGTGATGAAGATGTTCTAGTATCATTTGATGTCGTTTCTTTGTTCACCAATATACCAACAATGTTAGTTGCAAAAATCATTATAAACAAATGGGACCAAATCAAAGCCCAGACCAATATTCCAAAGAAGAAATTCCAGGAGATATTAGATTTCTGCCTTAAAGACAATAACTATATTATGTTTAACAATAAATTATACACACAGACCCACGATAGAGAGAGAAATAGAGATTGCGCCAATCGCGGTACCGCTAATCCGCTCTTTGTGATTTTGACACAATCAGCTGTGTGCGTGACCTCATCTTGGTGCAATTGTTGATTGCACGAAAAAACCAAATAACAATTTTAATATTTCTGCGTGGTTTTAAACAATTATTGAGACTTTACAAAGCAAAATGAAGTGTGCCGTGGCAAAGTGTAATAGTGAAAACAAAAGGAAAGCGTGCGATATAAGTTTTTTTTCGTTTCCTACGGACGCAAATCTTGCGAAAAAGTGGAACCAGTTCAGCCGGCGAGGAGATGCATTAAACACCAAATCGAGCTATGTGTGCATGAAGCACTTTACTAGTGAAGATATTGAAAATAATACACAGTTCGAAATGGGTAACATATTGTGTATTTTCATATTAATTGCATTTAATATTGTTTTTGTAAATACCTTAGGTTTTGCAAAACTTCGTCGTTTAAAACGTGGTGCGGTGCCTACCATTTAAGGGGACACTCAAACAGACGCGGTATTGGAAGTGGGGTACAAGGCGGTACATAGTATACTGCATAGTACTGCCTTGTACCGCACTTCCAATACTGCGTCTGTTTGAGTGTCCCTTACGAAGAAATTCTGGGGGATTCCCAGCGTGCGGAAAGAGCTCAGCACAGGGAAAACAAAAGAATTGTCAGCATGTTACTTGAGCAGAGTGAGACTGCCGTTGCCACTGCAGGTAACAATTTGCATTTATATAAAGTTTTGCATTATACTGTAGCTAAGTTTTTATAGCCGTTGCGAGTGATACTGTTGATGCAAATATATCTGATGAAAGTGCGAATAATAAGGAAAATAGCCCTACGGAAGCAATACTCTCCGATATTCCCACGACTTCAACACCTCGCAAAGTATTTTATTATGACAGCAGTTTGCAGGAAGTAGAAGAGTTGGAAGCAAAATTGTAAGTTTTTAAAAGCAATACAGCACTTAACTTACATAGAATATTTGTTTCCAAAGGAGCCACACTCATGCATCCTCTCGGAAGAGGTACAAGGTCATCAAATAAAAGCTGGGGAGTCAACAGCTGTGGAGTTTAGGGTGGTTGGCTACCATCCACAAATATAAATATGCACTCTGCATGGCTTTTTACAATGGCGAGTCCGAAAATTCACTTTGCTCCACACCTTCCTTTTGGTCTACATGAAATTGCAAACACTGTTAATACATCCATTTTTTTATGTGCTAAAAATCGTACTTACCTAAAGGGCTACATGTCCAAAATTATTGCCACGTGTTCCTAATAAATCAATCTTTGTATATTTATTGGGTCATGTAATATTAAAATTAACACATTTTTCTGCATTGTTTACATAGTTTTATATGCGTTTTGGCATTTCTTTCTCGCAATTGCACTAAGATGACGTTACGCAAAAATTACGCTCAAAAATCCTCTCTCATTGGCGCAATCTTGTATTCTATCATTCTTGACACAGACCTTTGGGTCATCCGATTTCCCCTACAATCACAGACATTGTCATGGATGACCTACTTGACAATGTCATCTCGGAGCTAAAGCAACAATTTAACATAGACATCAAATTTATTTGCAAATACGTAGACGACATTTTTGCCATAATTAAACGTAACGACGGGAACATCATTCTAGATACTCTTAACAAATATCACAATAAATTACAATTCACGATTGAAATGAAAGTAAACTCTAAAATTCCTTATCTTGACGTCTGCATCCATAGAGAAAAACACAATACAGAACACACTGATGGCAATGCAGGAGCTGCAGAAAGACGCGAAAAGACTGACGGATGGTGTTTAAGATTTTTTAAATAGATTTTAAGGAATAGTATGTAACGTCTTGTGAATGTAATAATTTTTTTTTACAGGTTTAATAGATTATAAGTAAATAGTATGTAAGATCTAATGAAGTGCACTTTTTTTTTATAGATATTACTCTTTAAGAAAATGGAATTAAACTTGTTGTGATTTTTTTTTATGTTAAGAAAGTAGTATCTTAGATTTTGTGATATGAACGTTTTTATTTTCAATGTAATATACATATGTATGTATATTTCCTTTTTTGATTGAAATTTTTTATTTTATAAACCTAATGAAGGCTCTTTGGCTTTATATTAAGATGAAAAAACGAAACTGAAATAAATGTGACAATAACGTACTGAAGTATGAAGTGAAAGCATATCTTATCGATCCAGCTTCTGTTAGGCTTTGGTGCAAATCCGCGGATTGTGGTTGCCTTCTACTGCTGTCGTTAGCGTTCTGCTCAGTTAGCCAAGAAAGTGAACCTTGGTCATTTTCTGCTATCAGAAAGTTGTGCAAAGCACAACAAGTTTTTATAATGGAATTCGCATTGTCAATTCTGTTATCAATGCCTTTTCCAATTCGACGACGACATACACATGCATGTAGGTTATTCTTTTAAGTGTTTTTATTGTTGCTTAATTACCTTGCTTTCAATTGTCCAAAAGCATTTTCAACGACTCTACGTGATTTTGAAAGTTGATAATTGAAAGTTTTTTGCGCTGGTGTTTTATCCAAACTGAATGGAAAAGGTTTCATTAGATATTTGGAAAAACGAAAAGCGGAGTCTCCAAAAATGACAACTGGTATATCAAAGTTTCCTAATTTTGTGCTCATTGAGTTCAGAAGCGAACATTTATCTAGCTCTCTCTTTAAGCTGGACTTTTCAAAGATTTGGGAATCATTGCATCGTCCGGGAGTATCTTAAAAAGAAACGAAAAAATATATGCACTGCGACGTCTTATTCGTATAAACATGCAAGTAAAAGTTCGTGTAGAATACCTTGCGTCAACAAGAGCTAGTAAAACTGTCGAATACCATCCTTTATAATTGATATAATCTACTGCTTCTTCCATTCTATGTCGAATTTCTATGTGGAATCCACCTTAAAAATATTATATGTAGCTGTTTATACACAGTTTTACAATTTTAAGAAAAGCTTACCAAGCGCTCCCACACATTGAGGGAATCCAATGTTTTTAAAACCATCAACACACTCTTCAATGGTCTCTCTACTTAGCGGAAAGTAGTTGAAATACACTGGGTGCAATACTTTCCATACTTCCTTACAAAATTCCAAAAGAATTGTGCATACTGTCGATTTTCCCACTCCAAATAAGTTCGCAATACTGCGATTCTCCGCTGATGACCCAAGTGCATAAAGTGCAATAGCCACCCGTTTCTCCAAGCATATAGAATTCTGGAAGTTGGTTACTTTCTTTTTAATATGATCCAGAAAGCTACACAATTTCTGGAAATCCCGTCTTTTCAATCTAAAGTTTTGCTTGAAGAAATCATCTCCGCAGCATTGACACTCGACTTCGCAAAACGTGCTAGCTCGATTCTTGAAAATTAAGTACATATATACGTAAATATACATAAAGCATATACTTTATTGTTTTGATACCTCTTGCCTCCCACAGGTTCTTTCGTTAGCAGAAAGTTCCAAGTGGATGTACTCCCAATTGACAACTTGCACGTTTTTATACAAGAACAGAATTTCCATAATACTAGCGCCTTTTTCTTATTTCACTGATGGATGCATTTGTCTCTTCAATTTTGGCATAATTGAGGGTCATAGACACAAATAATATAAATTTCAACTGACGCATTTTAATTTATTTTCTCTGCAAATAGTATAGTTTTATTATGCCAAAACATACATATCGTCGTTTAAAGTGCAAAACCGCGTGTCAACAAAACGCAAAATCGCGTATGTGAAGTTACAGAAATTATTTTCTAGAGCGTAAAAACACTCATATTTCAAATTGGTTCTCTCTTTTAAAAAGCAATCGCATTTCTGGATAGTATATTCAGGACGAATGAATAAGGATTGAGTCAAGAGATTGTGTGAGCAAATCCAATTTTTGGCAGCCAATGTCAGTTACGCGGATTTGCAAAATGGCGGTACGCGGTTTTGTACTTTAAACGACGGTATGTATGTATGTATACCGGTTTTCGAACTCGCGTAAATGTACATTTACTAAATGCGGCACCGTGAACACTCTTCGAAAAACCAATGTTCGAAATTGCTAAATGTGCTTTTAAATGTCAGCATGAACGCTGCATAACAAAATCACCAAACGCAACATTTGCTTATAAGTCAAACTGCACTCTGTCAACAATATATACAAAAACAAAGAGTAGTGTAGATGTCTACCAACAAAATAATGTTATATTGAAATTACTTGTAAAGGAAAGGAGAATGATGAATCTGGAAGAGTATATATTGGCACAACAAAACGGTCTGTGGGTGTTCGACTAGGCGGACATGAAGCCGACGTAAGGAAAAAAAAGACCAGCACAGCACTAGCACAACACATTATATCAAGTGGACACTCAGCTGATTTTGCCAACGCGAAAATTATTGACCGGGAAAAGAGAGAAGCAACCAGATATACACTAGAGGGCCAGAGGATCATGGAGAAAGGAGGAAAGACGATAAACAAAAAAGAAGATACAGACAACATAGCGGCCGCTTATATATCATGTTTATTAAAATAAGACTTTAGTATTGACAATGTTACCATAATGTATGGATGGTATTGATTTTCAGCGTATACGTTTTTAGTAATGTTCTTTTTGTTTGTAATGTTGTGTTAGTAACAGATATTTAAATATTTTTATGTTATTAATTTCGAAATTTGTTTTAATATTCAAAACAATAGTGAGTTGGTTTGTACCTATATTTAAAATGTTTAATTGTCTTTATTTATATATTTTTATTGCTTTATGGTTATGTTTTTGTCATTGTTTGTTTATGTCATTGGTTTGTGACAGATATCAAATAAACGAATCGCCCCTGAAGATGCCAAAAATTATTAGCGAAACGTTGGGCTAGAAAAATTTAATAACTTAGTTTTATTCGCATCTTGAAACTCAGATCAGACGAGCCTATTAGTATACATGTTAAATAAATCAAGAACTGATCGGAATATACATACATAGAAATGAAATTTGCTTAGAAGGAAATAGCTGTGTGTCAATATTGGTGCAAACGATTAAAGACAGCCAATTGGAATATGTCAAAGATAAAAAGAGTGCAAAGGAAATGTTCGATGCATTATGTGCAGTTTTCGAAAGAAAAAGTATCGCAGGTTATTTGCTGGTGAAAAAGCAATTGCTCTTGATGAGATATCGAGATGGCGATGAAATGGTCGAACACTTTGTGAAGTTTGACAAAAAGATACGTGAACTGAAGTCAAAGGGTGCCAAGTTAGAGGAACTGGATATAATTGCACATTTATTCATTACCTTGCTGGAGAGTTATGATAATTTGGTAACGGCATTGGAAACGATGAACCAAGAAAAACTCACACTGGAATTTGTGAAAACACGTTTGATGGACGAACATAACAAACGTTGTGGCCGTGAACAATCAGCAAATTCGTCTGGTGAAACCAGTGCAATGCATGCCAAGATTAAAAAGAAGCCGTTGAAATGTTTTCAATGCGGAAAAATCGGGCATATCAAATCCAAATGTTTTGCGAAAAAGAAGGAACAAAAAGGTTCAATCAGCGCTAACAAAGCATCCAATGAATATCGTTCGACATTATGTGCAGTCGTGAATGAACAAAAGGTTTCATGTATTTCACAATCAACCGTATATATAGCACTTGAAGCACAACAAGACCACTACGCAGATCAAATTAAGTTCACGCTTGACTCTGGTGCAACACAGCGCATGGCAAATGAGCATTGGTGATATGAAAATTTCGGTCGCAAAGAAAAATCAAACTATTTTTGCAAAACAACATGGTGGAATTTCTGTGAAAACGTTTTATGATGGTGATTCATCTACGAAAACAGTGGAAAACGTTTTGTATGTTAAAGATTTACACTGCAATTTGATGCCAATTCGAAGTTTGACGAAGAAGGGATATCGTGTCGTTCGATTAATGGAAAAACAGTTTTTGTTGCACATGTAAATGGAAAGCTGTATGAAGTCGTGTTACACATTGATCGAAATATGTTTGCTGGCGAGAAGAACTTAAATAAATGAGGTGAATATCGACACGGAATCGAAGTTTTGTGAATCATGCGATTTTGCAAAACAAACACGAACACCGTTTACAAAGAACCAAAACGCACGTTCAAATCGCATATTGGAGTTGATACACAGCGATGTTTGTGGCCCGATGCCTGTAACAGCGTACGATGGTTCCAGATACTTTATATCGTTCACTGATGATTTTTCCAGGGCATCAATAATTTATTTCATGCAGCGAAAAAGTGAAGCGTTTGAAAGATGCAAGGAGTTTCAAGCGATGTCCGAAACATTTCACGCCATAAGAATTGCCAAATTCACCACTGACAATGGTGGTGAGTACGTATCAAATGAATTCATACAGTACCTTAAAAGTAAGGGCATTCAAATGAAGTTAAACCAAAGAACGTAGATAAAATGAAGGGACAACTTGCTATTATTGTAGCGATCCAATCAAAAAACGCACTAGGGCAAAAGAGAAGGCACACCCCTGTTGCGCACTTTTGCCACAATTATAACGAGTTGTCCCTTCTTGTTATCTACGTTCTTTGGTTAAACGTACCACACAATCCAGAAATGAATTCAATTTCGGAACGGTTAAATCGAACGCTTCAAGAAAAGGCAAGAACCAAGCTATTCGCGAGTAATTTGGATGAAAGATTCTGGAATGAAGCGATTTTAACGCCAAATTATTTGAAAAATCGATCCATAACGACAGCCATTGGAAAGCAGTTTATTTCAAAGACACCTGCTGAAATTTGGGTCAAACAAACACCTAATTTGTCACATCAACGCATATTTGGTTCAAAATGTTTTAATCATATACCGCCGAGCAATCGTGCAAAATTTGACCCAAAATCAACAAAGTGTTTAATGTTGGGTTATGGAACATCAATGGGCACATATCGATTTTGCGACACAACAAAGAACAAACTGATTTTTGACCGCCATGTGACGTTTAATGAAGCTTCTGTTTAAAAACAAACCAAACTGGTTGATATACCAGTCTGAGAGGCGATATCGAACAAGAAAAACTATGTCAACAAACTAGAAGGAGATGATGCTAAATTGAATTCAACCACCGGAAATTTAATGACAAATGTTGACAACACATTTGAAGGTGATGATACCAACAAGTTGATCCACGACACCGATATGGATGGTGCCGGTAACCGCAATGCAATGAACCACGGTGTTTTGGATTTGGATGACATCGGTAACAACGAAGATAATGTCAACAGTGCAAAAAGGGATTGTATTGGTAACATTGACTGGAACACTACGCGAAGAAGCGAACGTAATCGAGCACCGGAAAGATATGGTGAATGGACAGAAACGGCTCATTTTGCGCTATCGGCTGAACAATTTGTCGAAGATGATCCGATTTCAATTCATGATGCGAAGAAAAGTAATGATTGGAAAAAATGGGAGGATGCCATTCAAAGTGAGTACAAATCGTTGATGAAAAATTGTACCTGGACAGTTTGTGACCTACCAAAGAACCGCAAGGCATTTACAAAGAAATGGGTGTTCAAGCTAAAGCGAAAATCTGACGGCCAAATCGATTACTACAAAGCGCGCCTTTTAGCGCGTGGTTTCACGCAAAAATTTGGATTTGACCAGTGAGACATATGCTCCAGTTGCAAAGTTGGTGACACTGAAGATTCTACTTTCAATTGCGAATCAAATGAACATGCACATTCATCAGATGGATGTTAAAAGTGCATTTTTGAATGGGAAGCTGGAGGAAGAAATTTTTATGGAGCTTCCAGATGGTTTCTAACAGGCCAATAAAGTGTGCAAATTGAATCGAGCAATTTGTGGTTTGAAGCAGGCATCACGTGCCTGGAACGAAAGGTTCAACGAGTTTATGATTCAAATTGGATTCAAACAATGTGAATCTGATCGCTGCATTTACGTGAAGAAGCAAAATGAGATCCTGATTTATGTTTTGCTGTACGTTGATGACATACTGGTGTTTTGCAGCGACATGAAAACAATAAATGATGTGAAAAAATTGATAAAGGAACTTGAAATGACTTTCTTTCTGAGCATGTGCATAGAACAAAATATGAAAAACCTAACTATCGTTTTGAGTCAGTCAAAGTACTTAGAGAAGAACTTGCAAAAGTTCAATATGCAAGATTGCAGACCAAAAGCAAATCCAATGGAAAAGAGTTTGCATTTGGAACCAGGCGATAAACACTGCACAAGCCATCCGTACCGAGAATTAATTGGCTGTTTAATTTATGCAACCGTTACGACAAGACCTGATTTGTGTGCTGCCACTGGATATTTCATTCGTTTTCAAAGTTGTTTAAATGAAACTCATTTTTATCGGTTTATCGAAAGAATGATTCAGCGCAAACATTGAT